TATATTGTTTATTATGTCATATTAGATGAATTGTGGTAGATAAATAAGCCGTATAGTGATAATAGCATCACATTCAAGTATTTTTTCTCGGCTATCCAGAGTTCAGGAACGGATTAATGGCTTTTCAATTAATTTAAATGGGGAAAATTAATTTGATATACGAGTAAATTGAGTTACGAGCTAGCTCCTGGAACGGATTAAACTCGTAGGTCAAGGTTCCACTGTAGTATACTGAAAAGTATTGTGCACTCATTTGTCTAGCAAAAAGGAGTATATGTACATATATTTATTTTATATAATCAACTCCAAATGCCCTACTCTACCTAACCCCCACATTTTTTTTATTATAAAGTAATTACAGTTTTCTTAACATACTAATTGGTTTTATTTTCAAATTAAGCCACTTCCAACTTCTTTGTGCTAATACATGTATAGTACAGTGGAACCTCAAAAATCGAACGTATCTCATATTGAACATTTCGAAAATAGGACCATTTTTTCAGACAAACTGTGTCCCTATTATCGAACGTGCCCCTATTTTCGGACCGCCGGGTACGGGACCTGTCTGCCGCCCGCTCTGTCCGCGTCCCCGTGCAGGCGCCGTGAGCAGTCTAGCTTTGTTTATGCTTGAGTGAACACTAACCTGCGCTCTCGTTCATGCATTTTACGATTATTTCATTGTGTTTAGTGCTTGTGGGACTGTGAAATAAGCTGCCATGGGCCCAAAGAAACTTGCTAGTGGTACCCCTGTGATAAAGAAAGTGAGAAACACCATAGATGTGAAGAAGGAAATAATACAGAAGTATGAGAGTGGTGTGAGACTTGTTGAGCTTGCCAGGATGTATGGGAAAAACAAGTCGACCATCGGTTCTATCCTGTCAAAGAAAGAACAAATCAAGGAAGCTGATGTTGCGAAAGGTGTTAATATAGGGAGTGGATGAGGTGCCTTCTTCAAAGATTAAGGAGATTTGTGCCAAGTGGAATGATGTCCAAATGTTTGTGCAGAAGTATCACCCTGAGCAAGCTGAAACAAGCCATCTTTGCAACAAGTTCAGTGACAGAACCATGTCCCATTTTAGGGAAATGTTAAAGAGGCACCAGAAACAGAGGACTGTGGACAGTTATTTTGTGAGACAGGGGTCCAGTGACTCAAGCTGGTCCTAGTGGCATTAAAAGACAGAAGGGAAGTAACCCCAGAGAGGGCTTTACCTGAAGTCCTCATGGAGGGGGATTCTCCTTCCAAACACTAACCCCAACTCCCTCTCTCCTCCCTATCTTCCAGATGCCATCACCAATCTTCAATAAAGGTAAGTAAAAATGTTATTTTATATGTATTATTATACATAATTAAAAACTATAGTATTTATTGTATGTAAAACTGCAATTAATCTCTATAAAATGTATTTTTTGTGTGAATATTTTTGGGTTTCTGGAACGGATTAATTGTATTTCCATTATTTCTTATGGGAAATATTGCTTCGAATTTCAACTTTTCAAATTTAGAACTAGCTCCTGGAACAGATTAAGTTCGATTTTTGAGGTTCCACTGTACTAGGTTTTGTGGGCGAGGGGCTTGGACTTCCAGCAAGCGTGCGTGAGCATGTTAGATAGGAGTGAATGGAGACGAATGGTTTTTGGAACCTGATGAGCTGTTGGAGTGTGAGCAGGATAATATTTAGTGAAGGGGTTCAGGGAAACCAGTTATTTTTATATAGCCGGACTTCAGTACTGGAAATGGGAAGTACAATGCCTGCACTTTAAGAAGTCTTGAATTGATAAACAGACAGTATTTCTTTTATATTCACAGGTAACGAATTCCAGATTTTTGGGCCTTTTATGTGCATTGAGTTTTTACAGATCATCATGGGAAAGTGGAACAGAATTCTTCCTCCGTAAGCCATGTGTGTTGTAAGAGACAACTAAAATGCCGGGGGCAAGGGGCTAGTAACCCCTTCTCCTGTATATATTACTAAATGTAAAAGGAGAAACTTTCCTTTTTCCTTTTGGGCCACCCCGCCTCGGTGGGATATGGCCGGTGTGTTGAAAGAAAGAAAGTTTTTAGAGAGTGTGAGATGGACACGGAGAACATCAAAGAGTGATCTGTGCCTTGTGGTATGGTCATGTGTTCTGTTGAGGTTGGTAAGGAGAAGTTTGAGGGGAGGGTTTATATCCAAGTTTAGTGTTCTATGTATGTAGTAGGCACAATAGTAAGTATGGATGTTTTGTACAGTGAGTAAGTTTAGAGTTTTGAATATTGGTGGAGTATGCTGCCTGGAGTGGGAATTTGTTATCATTCTGACTGCAGCCTTTTGTTGGGTAATTAATGGTCTGAGATGATTTATTGTTGTTGAGCCCCATGCACAAATTCCATAGGTGAGATAGGAGTAAATGAGTGAGTGATACAGGGCAAGGAGGGCTGACTGTAGAATATAATACCGTATCTTCGATAGTATGCCTACGGTCTTGGAGATTTCCTTGGAAATTTTTTGTACATGTACAGTGGACCCCCGGTTTACGATTTTTTTCATTCCAGAAGTATGTTCAGGTGCCGGTACTGACCGAATTTGTTCCCATAAGGAATATTGTGAATTAGATTAGTCCATTTCAGACCCCCAAACATACATGTACAAACGCACTTACATAAATACACTTACATAATTGGTCGCATTGGGAGGTGATCGTAAAGGGGGGTCCACTGTATTTGAAATTTGAGTCTATTATCAAGGTGATAGGTGATCCGTTTATCATTATGTTAAGTGGAACATCTGTAGTTCTGTTCCCAAACTGAATGTAGTAGGTTTTGTCAATATTGAGAGTAAGTTTGTTATCATCATCCAGGTAGATATTTTCTGTAATTCGGTATTTACAGTATTAGCTAGTATGACTGGGCTTGGGTGAGAGAAGACATATGTAGTGTCATCTGCAAATAGTGTGGGTTTGAGTAGTTGTGATGCATTTGGTAGGTCGTTTATGTAAATGAGAAAGAGAAGAGGGCCAAGGACACTTCCCTGTGGAACACCAACTGTAATTGGCTGTCTGGAAGAGTTTGCTCCATTTGTGTACACATATTGGCTTCTGTCGCTGAGGTATAACTTTAGGTAGTTGAGGGAGTGCCCTCTTATACCATAGTGTGATAATTTTATGTGGAGCAAATCATGGTCAACTGTGTCAAAAGCTTTACGTAAATCAATGAAGATCCCCAATGGGACTTCTTTTTTCTCGAGTGCAGTGTATTTTTATGTTAGCACATGTATAATAGCATCATTCGTATTCTTTATTAGGCCTGAACCCACACTGACAGTGGTTGAGTATGTTGTGGGAGATGAGGTAGGAATAGATTTGCTTATGAATTTATTTTTCAAAGATTTTAGAGAGAGGGTGTAAGTTGGATATTGGCCTATAGTTATTCAAGTCTGCTTGATCTCCTCTATGTATCAGGGTGACTTGCTATACTGAGAACTGTAGGGAAGGTAGAGGATTCAATGGATTTGTTAAAGAGTGTTGCAATGATTAGTGACAGCACTTGTGATGCTTTTTTGTATATAAAGGGTGGTAAGATATTTAAATCTCCTGTCTTGTTCTTTAGTGTGTTGATAGTAAGTGAGACTTCTGTTGGGATGGTCGGAGCTAGGAATAGTGTGTTCGGGTAGGTGCCAGTGAGGTAGTCATTGGGTGGGGTATTTGAGCTTGGGATTTTACCCGCAAAGTTTTTTCCTATGGTGGAGAAGAAAACATTGAGTCTGTTTGTTGTTTCAGTAGGTGGGAGTAGGGGTTCATCTGGTTTTGTTAATGTGACTGTTCTGTTTCCTGATATCTTTTTTGTTACTAGAATTTCAGATAGGGTTTTCCAGGTCTTTTTTATATCACCTTTTAAGTTGGATAATCTGTTCTCATAATACAATTTTTCTGCCCTTCTTATCAGGCTGGTTAGGATAGATGAGTAACGTTTTGTTTGGTCTCTGGTTATGTGACCCATGTGTTAGCCAGGGACTGTTCAGTCTCTTAGCTGTGCTCTGCTTAATTTTTTAGGGCACTGCTTGTTATAGAGGTATTGGGTCTTTTTTAGAAACTTATTAATACATTCATCAGTACCTGTATAGATTTCTAGCTCAGTTTGCCAGTCGATGCTTGTCATTGCTGCTGTGAAGTTATTAATGGCTGCTTCATTATGAAACATGAAGGTTACTTTAGTAGTGACTTGGGGTAATTTACCTAGATCAGATACCACCACCCACCATTTCTCCATCAGTTATATGGTTTACCTCATCCACTATGAACCCATCCACCAACAAGTCTACTCCCAAATATCTGAACACATTCACCTCTTCCATACTCCCTCTCTCCAATCTGATATCCAATTTTTTCTGATCTAAATCATTTGATATCCTCATCACCTTACTCTTACCTATGTTCACTTTCAACTTTCTTCCTTTACACACCCTCCCAAACTCATCCATTAACCGGGAGTTTACCTGGAGAGAGTTCCGGGGGTCAACGCCCCCGTGGCCCGGTCTGTGACCAGGCCTCAGAATCTGCCAAAAGCACAGTATCATCAGCAAAAAGTAACTGTGTCAACTCCCATTTTGTATTTGAATCTGCATAATTTAATCCCAGCCCTCTCCTCAACACCATAGCATTTACTTCTTTTACAACCCCTTCTATAAATATACAGTGGAACCTCAACTTACCAGTTTAATCCGTTCTGTGATCTAGGTCGCAACTCAATCTGCTCGTGTATCAAATCAATTTTCCTCATTTAAATTAACTGAAATGCCATTAATCCGTTCCATCGGAATTCCTGCTCTCAGGAGGCAATAGAAAATACTTCAATATAACACTAATATCAACTCTACAGCTTATTTATCTATCACCACTGATCTAATATGACATAATAAACAACACAGATATGAGTGCAACCCGTCTACAAGAACACTGCTACAGTATGTAATGGTATTAAAATTAAATCTTCATTACATGTGATTAGCCATTCTTTGAAGTACAGCATCAAAGAAAATGTTAAATATAAAGAGAAAGTCTTGGAATTTCTTACCAATAGTAACATTAAAGATAGGTGTTGAAGAGACAAGGTTTGACGGTAGCAATGGCTCATTGCTGTACTCATTGTATATTCGTGTATCCATGCCATTTTGAGAAGTCTCAGGACACTGAAAAACAAAATATGATATTGATATGGAATATATAGGTTCTACTATACTTTATAATTTTGAAATAACATTAAAATTAATTCTCCATGAGGAAGTGGAACAGAATTCTTCCACCGTAAGCCATGCGTGTTGTAAAAGGTGACTAAAATGCTGGGAGCAAGGGGTTAGTAACCCCTTCTGTATACATTACTAAAGTTAAAAAAAAGAGAAACTTTTGCTTTTCTCTTTGGGCCACCCTGCTTTGGTGAGATATGACCAGTTTGTTGAAAGAAGATAAAAATTAATTAACAATACAGAGAGCTAGTATCCTCATACCATATCACATTGTCTTTTCACTTAGAATGAGCAAGATATGAGTAAACTGTCATGAAGATGTATCACCAGATATCCATGAAGCTGATCATGAGTCAGACTTCCAGTATCCTTACTCTTTCCCACTCCACTGCCAAGCATTTTGCAGAGAATTACCAAAAATTATCATTTTGAAATTTAATTATCTTCCAAACAAATTAGTGCTGATAGAGTGTGAGCAAGGCAGAGATGGGGTCAAATATGCATGTAGATGAATGGTTCAGAGAACCGACACGTTGTTAAATTAGACACATGTGCAACTCTTGGGTATCTTTATTGAGGAAACGTTTTGCCACACAGTGGCTTCATCAGTCCATACAAAGGAGAAACTTGAAGAACAGGAGGAGAATGAGGTAATCAGTCCCTCAACCTTGAGTCGATGTGGTCAGTCCATCAATCTTGAATGGACTGACCACATCGATTCAAGGTTGAGGGACTGATTACCTCATTCTCCTCCTGTTCTTCAAGTTTCTCCTTTGTATGGACTGATGAAGCCACTGTGTGGCAAAACGTTTCCTCAATAAAGATACCCAAGAGTTGCACATGTGTCTAATTTAATCAAATATGCATGTTGAAATACAGCTACAAATAATGTATAAGCATGATAATCTAGAAAGAATACAATACAAGTACTGTAGTATTCTGGGGCAAAAAATATGGCAGAGTCATGGGGCACAAAAAAGCATATTCTGCAAATTGAGAATAAATAAAAAAACCATATTCTGCAAATTATGAAAATAAACAAATACTGTACAGAAATACATAGATAAATACATACATACAGAGTTATGGGGTAAAAAAAAAAAAAAGAATATCCTGGGTGCACACTGACCTGCAGATTATGAGAATAAATACAGACATACCTACAATGGAAATAATTTACTCTGACTTTTTGGGGAAGAAGTTATCCTTCATAATCTATGTACATATACAGTGGAACCTCAAAAATCGAACTGCTCCCAACTCAACCAATTATGTAAGTGTATTTTTGTAAGTGCTTTTATAAGTGTATTTTTGAGGGTCTTAAATGGACTAATCTAATTTACATTATTCCTGATGGGAATAAATTCGTTCGGTAGTGGCACTCGAACAGCCTTCTGGACCAAAGAAAGTTCGATTTTTGAGGTTCCACTGTACATATATATGTTGTCATGTATGATACTTTAACTATTTATGTGTACCTGTACCTGAATAAACTTTCTTTTTTTTATTACCATCTCGGCCATTTTCCATCAAGGCACGGTGGCCCAAAAAAGAAAAACTTTCATCATCATTCACTCCATCACTGTCAGGCCAGAGGCACACTTACACTCCAGTTATAAAACTGCAACAATAACACTCCTCCTTCAGAATGCAGGCACTGTACTTTCCATCTCCAGGACTCAAGTCTGGCCTGCTGGTTTCCCTGAATCCCTTCATAAATGTTACTTTGCTCACATTCCAACCACACTTCAAATCCTAAAAACCATTCGTCTCCATTCACTCCTATCTAACATGCTCACACATGCTTGCTGGAAGTCCAAACCCCTCGCACACAAAACCTCCTTTACCCCCTCCCTCCAACCTTGCCTAGGCCAACCCCTACCCCGCCTTCCCTCCACTGTAGATCTAAACACTCTTGAAGTCATCTTATTTTGTTCCATCCTCTCTACATGTCTGAACCACCTCAACAATCACTCCTCAGCCCTCTGGATAATAGTTTTGGTAATCCCGCACCTCCTCCTAATTTCCAAACTAGGAATTCTCTGCATTATATTCACACCACACATTGCCCTCAGACACAACATCTCCACTGCCTCCATCCTTCTCCTTGTTGCAACATTCACCACCCATACTTCACACCCATGTAAGAGCGTTGGTACAACTATACTCTCATACATTCCCCCCTTTGCCTCCATGGACAAAATTCTTTGTCTCCACAGAATCCTAAGAGCACCACACACCTTTTTCCCCTCATCAATTTGTTTCATCTTTCATAGATCCATCTGCTGACATGTCCATGCCTAAATATCTGAATATATTCACCTCCTACATACTCTCACCCTCCAATTTGATATTCAGTCTTTCGTTACCTATTTTTTTTTAATCCTCATCACCTTACTCTTTCCTATATTCACTTTTAATTTTCTTCTTTTACATACCCTACCAAACTCATCCACCAACCTCTGTCAGTAGCGTTACTGTATACTGCGCAGTATACTTAGATAATCCCAGCTACTTTATAGGTAGGCTCCTTTGTTAGCTGTGACATCAAGAGATCCTTGCACATGAGCAACTTCTCTTCAGAATTTTCCAAAAGCACAGTGTCATCAGCAAAGAGCAACTGTGACAACTCCCACTTTGCATTAGATTCTTTATCTTTTAACCCCACACCTCTTGCCAACACCTGAGCATTCACTTCTCTTACAACTCTATCTATAAATATCTATAAATATATATATATCTATAAATATATATATATCTATATATATATATCTATATATATAAATATAAATATATCTATAAATATATCTATAAATATATATGGTGACATCACACATCCTTGTCTAAGGCCTACTTTTACTAGGAAATAATCTCCCCCTCTCCTACATATTCTACCCTGAGCCTCACTATCCTCGTAAAAACTCTTAACTGCTTTCAGTAACCTACCTCCTATTCCATGTATGTATTTGCAACATCTGCCACACTGTCCCCCTATCCACCTTGTCATATGCCTTTTCCAAATCCATAAATGCCTTATTTAAATACTGTTCACATATATGTTTCACTGTAAATACTTGGTCTACACACCCCCTACCTTTCCTAAAGCCTCCTCGGTCATCTGCTATCCCACTTTCAGTCTTACTCTTAATTCTTTCAATAATAACTCTACCATACACTTTACTAGGTATACACAACAGACTTATTCCCCTTACTTGTAAATAAATAAATAAATACATTCTTTTCTTTTTTAACACAGTGGCCATCTCCCACCATCCATCCATCTGCTGCCTACTGGATTTTAGATTTTGCCACCGAAGTGGCTAGTTTATTGTGCACCCCATATCCATCCTGTGGACGGTAGCGCAAGAGCATATGGATACATAAAAGGCCTAGGAACTAGGCCCCAAAGGGTTAACAGGAATACATATGGATTTATATCTACATATCTATAGTTCACTTATCTGTTACAAGCAAATTTAGGAAATTTGCTTAGTATATCTGGTATCTTATTTTCATTAATAAGATATCTTGACATGTCACATAGGTTATTATACTGTCTGTCTTTGTATTCCTCAATAAGTGGACAATTAAGCACATAGTGTTCAAGACAGTGACCATATGCCTGATCACATAATTTACATTTAGTTTGATCATCATCTGTGTGTCTCCCAAACTGCCAGAAGTACTTGCAACCAAGCCTAAGCCTGGCCACTACAACATCAGTCAGTCTGTTCACATTGCAAGTTGCTCCATAAACATACTTATCTACGTTCATGTTATCATAGTGGGTTATAGATCTACTCTGGGAAGAGGTATTAAATAAAAGTGAAATCTAACTGTTTCATGCCATAAGAAAATCTTGCCCCAAAAATTTTAAGATACTTTTTTGTTATATATATTAATGGAAAGAATTAAACCCATAGAGGTCATAAAGTCACTGAAGACAAGTTAATGGGAGCCAATTATGTTTGATCAAAGAAAGTGGTAGGGTAGCTTTGGTCTGGAGTTTACCTGGAGAGAGTTCCGGGGGTCAACGCCCCCGCGGCCCGGTCTGAGACCAGGCCTCCTGGTGGATCAGAGCCTGATCAACCAGGCTGTTGCTGCTGGCTGCACGCAAACCAACATACGAGCCACAGCCCGGCTGATCCGGAACTGACTTTAGGTGCTTGTCCAGTGCCAGCTTGAAGACTGCCAGGGGTCTGTTGGTAATCCCCCTTATGTGTGCTGGGAGGCAGTTGAACAGTCTCGGGCCCCTGACACTTATTGTATGGTCTCTTAACATGCTAGTGACACCCCTTCTTTTCATTGGGGGGATGGTGCATCGTCTGCCAAGTCTTTTGCTTTCGTAGTGGGTGATTTTCGTGTGCAAGTTCGGTACTAGTCCCTCTAGGATTTTCCAGGTGTATATAATCATGTATCTCTCCCTCCCGCGTTCCAGGGAATACAGGTTTAGGAACCTCAAGCGCTCCCAATAATTGAGGTGTTTTATCTCCGTTATGCGCGCCGTGAAAGTTCTCTGTACATTTTCTAGGTCGGCAATTTCACCTGCCTTGAAAGGTGCTGTTAGTGTGCAGCAATATTCCAGCCTAGATAGAACAAGTGACCTGAAGAGTGTCATCATGGGCTTGGCCTCCCTAGTTTTGAAGGTTCTCATTATCCATCCTGTCATTTTTCTAGCAGATGCGATTGATACAATGTTATGGTCCTTGAAGGTGAGATCTTCCGACATGATCACTCCCAGGTCTTTGACGTTGGTGTTTCGCTCTATTTTGTGGCCAGAATTTGTTTTGTACTCTGATGAAGATTTAATTTCCTCATGTTTACCATATCTGAGTAATTGAAATTTCTCATCGTTGAACTTCATATTGTTTTCTGCAGCCCACTGAAAAATTTGGTTGATGTCTGCCTGGAGCTTTGCAGTGTCTGCAATGGAAGACACTGTCATGCAGATTCGGGTGTCATCTGCAAAGGAAGACACGGTGCTGTGGCTGACATCCTTGTCTATGTCGGATTATAAGGATGAGGAACAAGATGGGAGCGAGTACTGTGCCTTGTGGAACAGAGCTTTTCACCGTAGCTGCCTCGGACTTTACTCTGTTGACGACTACTCTCTGTGTTCTGTTAGTGAGGAAATTATAGATCCATCGACCGACTTTTCCTGTTATTCCTTTAGCACGCATTTTGTGCGCTATTACGCCATGGTCACACTTGTCGAAGGCTTTTGCAAAGTCTGTATATATTACATCTGCATTCTTTTTGTCTTCTAGTGCATTTAGGACCTTGTCGTAGTGGTCCAATAGTTGAGACAGACAGGAGCGACCTGTTCTAAACCCATGTTGCCCTGGGTTGTGTAACTGATGGCCTGCTTGAAGAGAAAAGCCTAAAGAAATGTGTTGCTTTTATTTGGGCAATAAATACATAATACATATAATTTTGTTACACACAAGTGATACAAGCTGCTGATAACGCACTCAGCTTACTGAGTGTCTGTGGTTCGATCACCAGCATGGGCAGAAATGTTGGGCATGTTTCCTTACACACGTTGCCCTGTTTACCCAGCTGAAAGTAGGTACCTGGGTGTTAAGTCACCTTACACCTGCTGTCTCGGTTCACCTAGCTGTAAGTAGGTGCCTGGGCGTTAAGTCACTTTACACCTGCTGTCAATGTACAATTGCTATGGATCCCATCATACATTGGATTACTCGACTTAAGAAATCGTAATGACACGATTGCAAACAAACCATACCCCGGCCGGGATTGAACCAGCGGTCAGAGTCTCAAAACTCCAGCCCGTCGCGTTAGCCACTAGACCAGCTAGCTGGTCTAGTGGCTAATGCGACGGGCTGGAGTTTTGAGACTATGACCGTGGGTTCAATCCCGGCCGGGGGTGTGGTTTGGATTACTCCTTCATGATAAAGTTGATATGTTAGCCAAGAAGAGTACCCAGAAGGAGAATGTAGAATATAACTTTGGTATAACTGTGTCTAGCATTAGGAATAATATTAGGAGAGAAGTAAATAATGAAAATGATTGTTATAGGAATGCATTAGAAGCCTGAGTAGATCTATAACCCACTATAACATGAACGTAGATAAGTATGTTTATGGAGCAACTTGCAATGTGAACAGACTGACTAATGTTGGTAGTGGCCAGGCTTAGGCTTGGTTACAAGTACTGACTAATGTTGTAGTGGCCAGGCTTAGGCTTGGTTACAAGTACTGACTGATGTTGTAGTGGCCAGGCTTAGGCTTGGTTACAAGTACTGACTAATGTTGTAGTGGCCAGGCTTAGGCTTGGTTACAAGTACTGACTGATGTTGTAGTGGCCAGGCTTAGGCTTGGTTACAAGTACTTCTGGCAGTTTGGGAGACACACAGATGATGATCAAACTAAATGTAAATTATGTGATCAGGCATAAGGTCACTGTCTTGAACACTATGTGCTTAATTGTCCACTTATTGAGGAATACAGAGACAGACAGTATAATAACCTATGTGACATGTCAAGATATCTTATTAATGAAAATAAGATACCAGATATACTAAGCAAATTTCCTAAATTTGTTTGTAACAGATAAGTGAACTATAGATATGTAGATATAAATCCATATGTATTCCTGTTAACCCTTTGGGGCCTAGTTCCTGGGCCTTTTGTGTATCCATATGCTCTCGCGCTACCGTCCACAGGATGGATATGGGGTGCACAATAAACTAGCCACTTCAGTGGCAAAATCTAATCTGTCTCGGTTCACCTAGCTGTAAGTAGGTACCTGGGTGTTAAGTCACCTTACACCTGCTGTCTCGGTTCACCTAGCAGTAAGGTGCCTGGCTGTTAGCCGACTGGTGTGGGTCGCATCCTGGGGACAAAATTAACCAAAGTTGCCCAAAATGTTCTGCATAACCAGGGACTTTCTATATAGCATGTTATTGATCTCAGTTATGGTCTGTATAAGCTACATCATGCAACTGTGGATTATCAGTATTATAATCACGGGGAAGCGCTAAACCCGTAGGAGCATACAGCGCCTGTGGTGGGGATGGAAGGTATTCAAGCTTAATTCAGAGAACCGGAGCACAGAACCAATTCCCTAGATCAAGAGCCCCTCAACAGCGTCAAGGAACCTCCCTTGAGGGAAAAGATTATTAAAAAAAATATGTATGACAAAATGAAGACACACAAACCCTGACATATATGACTTACTTACCTTGGTATGGCTAGATAAAGGCGAGTTTTCCATCTTTGATCTGGGTCTTTCAGGGGGCACCGTCCAGCCCATCTCTTGGGTAAATTTCTTAATTGCATCTCTTGATGACTGAATGAAACCTGTGAGACTTTGCAAATAATCTTGGCGAGCCAGAAGCGTCATTGTTGTTACAACTTTGGTTTAAGGGCAGTGATGGGCGAGGTGCAGAGTAACAACTGTATTATGATACACTTATGTATATTATGTATAATTTATGTAACTGTATTGTGCATGATAATTATTATATATAGCAGCATATGTGTAGATTACTTACGATAACCCCCCCCCCAAAAAATCAAAGTGACTTATTTCCATTGGGGTCCTTGACTTATTTCCATTGAAGTCCTTGATTTATTTCCATTGGAGTCCTTGACTTATTTCCATTGGAGTCCTTGACTTATTTCCATTGGAGTCCTTGACTTATTTCCATTGGAGTCCTTGATTTATTTCCGTTGAAGTCCTTGATTTATTTCCATTGGAGTCCTTGAGTTATTTCCATTGGAGTCCTTAACTTAATTTCACTGGGGTCCAGCTAATACCCTAATAACGGTTATAATCATAACCATGATTTTTAAAGGGGTGGAGGTGAACAGGTGTAAGGAAACGCGTCGAAATGTTTCCATCCGCCGGGAATCGAACCCCGGGCCCTCAGTGTGTGAAGCGAGAGCTTTGGCCACCAGGTGCCCACTCCCTGACCCTGGGGATTCACGGAGCCGCTGCTGGTATGACAGAACGACTGACAGGGCGCCCCCTCCATGTATTCGGACGCAGACTAGAGAACTGCGGGTGAATATCCACCGCCTACGCTTAGGGTATCCCACCACTGCAGGGATCGTTGAACGGGCACGAGAGGAGCTCTGTGCCCACTGTGACCTGGTGGTTCCGAAACCCTTGGTGCACTACCTGTTAGACCGCCCATCTACGATGACCCTTCAATTCAAAGTTCAAATTCAAAGTTTATTCTCTATAAGGATTACAATGCTGAGTTTACAGAAATTTGGTTATTGTGTGGTTTACATGGAGTAAAATTGTGATTACAGAGTGTACCACTAGAACGCTTAGCATGGCTAGGCATTTCGGGCAGACTTAGTTTTATTCTTAATTGTAAAATATTACAAATTATGAGTTAAGTTGGTATTATGGCTAAGTGACTAAATACTAGTTTGTGAGTTTAGCAATGTGAATGCTTTTGTTTTGGCACAGTACATAGTTTCAGTATTGGAGTATCACAGGATTCATTATTTTAAGATTGAGATTAATATTTCTGTTTATGGTCAATGAGTGCTTTAATTTAATCCCGGGGCCCTCCCCCTAAAAACACCTTAGCATTTACTTCTTTTAAAAACCCCTTTCTAAAAAATTAAACAGTGGCCTCGCTTACCTTTTTAATTTTCCTTTCTGTGATCTGGGGTCGCAACTAAAATCACTCGTGAATCAAACAATTTTCCCTTTTTTTTAAATTTAAACTGAATGCCTTTTAAAATTTAAAGTTCCATGGGGAATTTTCCTGCTCTCAGGAGGCAAAAAAAATCCCTTAAATATAACACAAATTTTCAACTTTTCACCCGTATTAACTAACCACTGATCAAATATAAAACCATAATAAAAAAACACAGATATGAGTGCAACCAGTCTACAAAAAACATTACGTATAAAAGGGTTTATTAAAATTTAAAATTTTTTCTTTACATGTGATTACCATTCTTTGAATTTCAGCATCAAAGAAAATGTTAAATATAAAGAGAAAGTTTAAAATTTTCTTCCCAAATTAGTAACATTAAAGATGGGTTTTTGGAAGAGACAATTTTTAAAGGGGTAGAATGGCTCATTGCTTTACTATTGTTTTATTGTGTACCATGCCATTTTAGAACCCTAAAGGGCACTAAAAAACAAAATTTTGGATTTTTTATTTTGAATATATTTTTTTCTACTATACTTTATAATTTTAAAATTAACATTAAAATTTAAAATTTCCCTCCATGGGGAAGGGGGGAAACAAAAATTTTTCCCAAACCCGAAAAGCCATGGTGTTGTAAAGGTGACAAAAAGGGCGGGGAGAAAGGGGGTTAGTAAACCCCTTCTGTTTTACATTACTAAATTTAAAAAAAAAAAGAAAAAATTTTGCTTTTCTCTTTGGGCCCCCCTGCTTTTGGGGGAAAGGACCATTTTGGGTTAAAAAGGAAGATAAAAATTAATTAACAATACAGAGGCTAGTATCCTCTTTACCAAAACCACATTGTCTTTTCATTTTAGAATGACAAGATATGAGAAAAATTTGTCATGAAGATGTATAAACCCAGATATCCATGAAGGGGTTTCATGAGTCAACTTCCAGTTTCCTTACTCTTTCCCACCCCCTTGCCAAGCTTTTTGGGCAGAGAATTACCAAAAATTACTTTTTAAAAATTTTTAATTATTTTCCAAAAAAAATTTAGGCTAAAGGGGTTGGGGGAAAGGGCAGAGAGGGGGCCCAAATTTATGCATGTAGATGAAGGGTTCAGAAACCCCGACACTTTTGTTTAAATTAGCCCACATTTTTGGAAAATTTTTGGGGTTCATTATTGGGGAAACTTTTTTGCCACACAGTGGCTTTTTCAGTCCCAAAACAAAAGAGAAATTAAAAACAGGGGGGAGAATGGGGGTTTAAATCAGTCCCAAAAACCTTTTGGTCGATGGGGTTTCAGGTCCATAAATCTTGAATGGACTGACCCATCGATTAAAGGGTTTTGAGGGACTGATTCCCCTCTTTCTCCTCCGTTCTTCAAAGTTTCCCCCTTTTTTTGGGACTGTTAAAAGCCACGGGTGTGGCAAACTTTTCCCCTTTTCAAAAAAGATACCCAAGAGTTGCCCCATTGGGGTCTAATTTAAAAATTCAAATATGCAGGGTTTTAAAATACAGTTTACAAATAATTAAAAAGCATGTTTAATCTAGAAAGAAACAATAAAAAGAACTGTATATTCGGGGCCCCCCGGGTAATGTAGCATATAAGTGGCTTTGGAGGTTTGCTTTTTCCTGAAATTTTTTGTCCCCCTGTTTGTATACTAAAAAAATAAATAAAAATAAAAAAAAAAAAAAATTAGGGCCCAGGGGTTCATGGGGCACAAAAAAAGAAAATTTCGGGCAAATTGAAATAAAAAAAAAACCATATTCTGCAAAATTTATAAAAATAAACAAATACTGTACAAAAATTTACATAGTTAAATAAAATACATACGAGTTAGGGGGGGAAAAAAAAAAAAAAAAATCCGGGGGTGAAACCCCTGACCTGCAGTTTATGGGAAAAAATTTCCCCAGAAAAACCTAAAAAGGGAAAAATAATTTACTCTGATTTTTTTGGGGGGAAGTTATCCTTCATAACCCTATGAAACATATACAGGGGAAACCCTCAAAAAATCGAACTGCCCCCCAACTAAACCCCAATTATGAAAGTGAAATTTTTTGAAAAGGGGGCTTTTATAAGTTTTTTTTTTTTGAGGGTTTTAAATGGCCCAAATCTAATTTACATTTTTTCCTGAGGGAAAAAATTTTCTTTTTGGTAGTGGCACTCAAAACGGGGCCTTTTTCGGGGACCAAAGAAAGTTCGATTTTGGGGTTTCCCCACTGAAAACTATATATGTTGTCATGTAGGGTTATTTTAAAACTTTTTAAATGTGTCCTTACCTAAAAAAAAACCTTTCTTTTTTTTTTTAACCATCTGGGCCATTTCCCATAAAAAGGCACGGGGGCCCGGGAAAAAAAAAAATTTTCATCATCATTACCCCTTTCACTGTCGGGGCCAGGGGCCCAAACTTACACCCCCAGTTAAAAAAACCTGAAACATTAACCTCCTCCTTGGGGAATGCAGGCACTGTATTTTCCATCTCCAGGACCCCAAGGGGGGGCCGGGCCGGGTTTTCCCTGAACCCCTTCAAAATGTTTTTTTGCTCACTTTCCCAAACCCACACTTAAAGCCCAAAAAAAACCATTGGGTTTCCAAATTCACCCCTATCAAAATTGTTTCCACATGCTTGCGGGAAGCCCAAAACCCCCCTCCCCAAAAAAAAACCCTTTCCTTTCCCCCCTCCCCCAACCTTGCCTGGCCCAACCCCTACCCCGCCTTCCCTCCACTGTAAGATCAAAACCCTTTTGAAGTCATTTTAAATTTTTTTCCCTTTCCTCTCTACATGTCGGAACCCCCTCAAAAAATCACTCCACGGGGCCCTCTGGTAAAATTTTTTTGGAAATTTCCCGCCCCTCCTTTTTCCCCAAATTTGGGAAATTTTCCTGCATTTATTAAACACCACACTTTCCCCTCAACACAAAAAATCTCCACCCCTCCATCCTTCTCCTTTGGTTGAAAACATTCACCACCCATTTTTCACCCCCATGTGAGCTTTTGGTTCAACTATACTTTTCATCCCATTCCCCCCTTTGCCGCCATGGACAAAATTCTTTGTCTCCACCAAAACCCTAAGAGCCCCAAACACCCCTTTTTTCCCCCTTAAATCAGTTTTTTTTCATCTTTCATAGTCCTTCTGCTAAATTTGCCTTTCCCTTTAAATATCGAATATACCCACCCCCTACTTCCCTTTCACCCCCCAATTAAAATTAAAATTCAATTTTTCGATCCCCCTATTTTTTTTTTTTTCCTAATCACCTTACTCTTTCCAAATTTTCCCAAACTTTTAATTTTCTTCTTTTCCCATACCCAAACCAAAACTCATCCCACCAACCTCTTCAGAGTGTTACTGTATACTGTGTAGTATCCCCTTTGAAATTCCCGTATTTTAATAGGTAGGCTCCCCTTTTTTAGCTGTGATGTAAAAGAGAACCCTTTGCCCCTTGAGCAACCCCTCTCAAAATTTTTCCCCAAAAGGGAAACTTTTGTCACCCCAAAAAAGGCAACGTGAAAACCCCCCACTTTCCCTTTAGATTTCTTTTTCTTTTAACCCCACACCTCTTGCCAACACCTGAAATTCACTTCTTTAAAAACCTATCTATAAATATCTATAAATATATATATATCTATAAATTTTTATCTATAAAATATATTTATATTTTAAAAATTATAAATAAAATCTTTTAAAAAAAATCTATAAATATATATGGGGGACATCCCCACAATCCTTGTTTTAGGCCTACTTTTACTGGGGTTTTTAATCTACCCCTCCCCTCCCAATTTTTCTCCCCTGGGGGCCTCACTATCCTCGTAAAAACTCTTTAACTGCTTTCAGAAAACCAAACCTCCTTTCCATGTATGTTTTGGGCAAATCTGCCACCCCTGCCCCCCCTACCCACCGGGGTCATATCCCTTTTTCCAAACCCATAAATGCCTTTTTTAAATACTGTTCACATTTTATTTTTTCACTGTAAACATTGTCACACCCCCCCAAACCTTTCCCTAAAGCGTCCCTCCCGGTCATCTCTACCCCACTTTCCGTCTACCTTTAATTTTTTAAATAAAAAACTTTTAACCAAAACACTTTATGGGGTTATACAAAACAGATTTTTCCCCCTTTACTTGAAAATAAAAAAATAAATACACTTTCTTTTTTTTTTTTAACACAGTGGCCATCTCCCACCAATCCATCCATTTTGCTCCCCTTTTTTGGTTTTAGTTTTTCCCACCGAAGTGGTAGTTTATTGTCCCCCCTATATCCATCCTGGGGGAGGGTTTAGCGAAGAGCATATGGAAAAACCCCAAAAAGGCCTAGGAATGGCCCCAAAGGGGTTTAAAACAGGAATACATATGGATTTTTTTCTACATATCTATAGTTCACTTATCTTTTAAAAGGGAAATTTTTAAAGGAAAATTTGCTTATTTTAAAT